CAATAAGAGTAACTTTTGTATAACCGATTTTAAGTGAAATAATTTCCAAGACAGCACATTATGTTGTTCTTCTCCTTTTTCATTCTCACGGCCGAAAGCATCATTATGATCCACAACTAGTACATAAGTTAAGTTGTGCAGTCCCTTCATTTTCTTTTTTCTTCAAAAAAAAACAGATGCTTCCATTATACGAAGTATATTTATACACGCATGCATCATAAGGATAGCCAAAAGACAACACACCATTTTTACACAATTTAATATAGTAGTAGTAATTAATAATAATATTAAGAGTTCCCACTAAGGCATGCACTGACGTTATTAATTGACTGGCCAGGTTTAAACGTTTTAGCAAACCAAATTAATAATAATAACTTTAGTGTTTTGTACTCGTATGAAAGAGGAAATGCACTGGAAAACCAAAAACGCCCCAATAAAGGATAAAATTTAATTTTGACCGTATGAAATGGCATTTTGATTTATGATAAAATTTCTCACAAAAATTAAGTGAATACTTGTTCATTTGAAATACCTCAATATTTCTAACATGAGCTCAGTTGCCCACGAGTCGAATATCTGAACTGCCTGAGCTCCACTGTCCGCTTGGTAGCATATGTATTTGGCCATTTGCAAATTTTTGAAGAAGCGCGTGAAGGACCCGCAAAAAAACAACGACCAAAGGGAGAGAAATTTGCAGGGCTTAGCTCTTTTTTATATATAGGGGGTGTTTGGATCTGATTCTCAAAACTGATTCTGCTCTTTCAAGGAGCAGAAGCAGAAGCGGGAGTGTTTGGGTGAAATTCTAGAAGCACTTCTGGAGTTCTAATTTACTCTCAGAATCAGTTTGTTTAGAAGCTGGGGGTACCAGCTTCTGAAAACTGATTCTGATTCTGCTTCTGTTTTTAAAAAAGAAGCAGAAGCAGAATCAGTTCCAAACACCCCATAGTAACTCCTATGTTTCCGGAAATGAAAGAAAGGTGATCAACAATTTCAAATGTTATTTGATTGCATAGTATGTTAACTTAATCTATTAAATCTTATAATGTATGTCTCGTGTACTTCTTTAGGTGTTCCAATTTATTTGTATGATGGTTTCTTATTAAAGAAATTGCCTTGAATGAAATTACTATGTTCTTCCCCTAATTAGAATTAATTAGAAAAACATTGTCATATTAATGTATGATGATGCCATAATATGGCATTATGATTTCAATATGGGCATATGGCACTACTTTACTCCTATATACTCCTAATTACAGAGAAACACAGTGTACTCCCACTTAGGAAAATCACCTTGTCTTTTCTCCTATTTAGGAAAATTTCCCTTTTTATTGCTTGTTCCACTTTCTGTTGTTGGCAAATCTTTTCTTTCCAACTTTTCTTATTTATTCATCTTCTCTGCTACATTTTATACATTTTCACTAAGCATTAATATTTAGTTATTTACACTTAATTTCCATAAATAACTTGCTAAGTAAAAGTAAACCGAAAGAGTACCAATATAAAGACTAGCCCTAAAATGTCTAACATACAATCCAAGATTCCAAGCAGAGCGCTAGGCTCCAGCTCTCCTAGGGCCTTTTACAGCATTTATGGAAGGTTCAGAGTTCAGACCTAATATTCCTGTCATCCCAAACTAGTATAATACCCGTGCGATGCACGGGATATATTATTCTCTTTAAAGGATTATATTACCATATTATTTGTAATAAATATAATTTTGATAAAACTAAATTGAATAAGTAAAGCATAGTGAATTGTAAAACACAAATAAAATGTTTAATATGGAGTAAATGTTTTATGTAGTACAAATTTTGAAACATTTGGTTGTACACATTTTTTTGTGATGTATTAATGTCTTTACCATCTTTTTCATATAATAGAACGTTCAATTACATGAATACCCAATATTTACAAATTAGGGAAAACTGTCAAATAAGTCCTCGAACTTTCATAAAAAGGTCAATTAAGTCCTTCTATAGGAGGTTTTGTCCGGCCGTCGCGATTTGGGGAAGTTCCCGGTGAAATTTTTTGATGAAATTTTTTGAGCATCTTATTCACCAAATCTAGTTTACTCATACCAAATTTCAGCTAAAGATTCAATCGGGAACACATTCAAATTAATTCTTGAAGATAACTGCGCATTTTTGCGTTCTCGAATTAATTTGAATGCGCTCCTGATTAAATTTTTAGCTGAAATTTGGTATGAGTAAACTAGACTTGATGAATAAGATGCTCAAAAAATTTCATCAAAAAATTCCACCGGGAACCGCCCCAAATCGCGACGACCGGACATAGTCTCCTATAGAAGGACTTAATTGACTTTTTTATGAAAGTTCGAGGACCTATTTGACAGTTTTCCCTTACAAACTAGGGAAAACTTTTCCCTACACACACTTCATCCAAATATTTATTCTATCTCTCTCCGATGACACATCAGCTGCAATGCACCCTCCCATTGGAGATGCTCTAAGAAGAATTATAACGTTTGGAGTACATCGTAATTACTTTACTACCATTGGTGATTTTCATTAAATCAATACCGAATGTTACCAATGCGGAGTCTCCACAATCAACTCTACGCTCCCTTTTTTTTAAAGAAAACTTCGCTTTATAAAAGTGAATCGTGAGCCAACCGACTTACAACCCACTGAGGTGGAAAATTATACAAACAACTACTAGCTTGCAAAGAGATAGCGGTTTTAGCGATAGTGTGAGCTACTTGGTTCGCTAATCTGCCACACCACTTAACTTGAATCCCCGGCTCTTCTTTCATGAGGTATTTGATGTCTTCATAGATAACTCCGATTTGTGAAGCATACACCTCTCCTTTGATCCCGGCTAACACCAAAGCCGCATTTGTCTCAATCACCGCATTCCTCCACCCGTTCTCCCTCGCCCAATTGATAGCTTCTCGAATTCCCCATGCCTCTATTTTCTTGCATTTTAATAGTTAGAAAAATCAGCACTTGTTCGATGTATCTGGACAACTTTCTTAACAAGGTTCATAACCATTTTCCATGCATACAGACATATTTCTTAACCAGGTTCATTGCTCTCTTTATCAATTGGGGTTATGCCTCTTATTCATTGGGCCACTATTTAATAATGGACTCAAAATTAATAGGACCGGTCCATTCTTCCAAAGATTTTATAATTAAATTAACTGGATATTTGAGTGATCCGAATTAATTTAATCACTAAATTATATTCGCACGGGCCCATATTAATATTTTCTTTTTTACCAGGCCCAATAACCATCACGAACAGCCCGGTAGCATCTGACGGTGGTCCAATAAGATATAATATAGCCCGGTAGCATTTGAAAGTACTCAATCATCACCCCAATCGGCTCAATAATTTTTAAATGTCCACAGTTATATTACACAACAATTTATAATAATAGTGTAATACCAAATGTAACATCTTTAGCCACAAATAAAAGATTTTGACAACTGTTAAAAAAAACCTTCATTATATATGCACATTGCAGGCTATTTGATCCATTTCTAAAATAAAAAAGCAATCTTCTGCGGACCCATGGTATGAAATGATGAGAATGTTCAATAGTATGAGGACTCTCTACTTTGGCTTATCTGCTTATCTTTAGTAAGCATGCAAATCAAATTCCCGTATTTGGATATATCTTCTTACTTGGGCGGGGCGAGGTTCTAACTACGTGCCTGCCTCAGCTCAAAGAGTTGCTATATTTATAGCAAAATGTTTTAGGAAGCCAACTAAACTAATGATTTTATAATTCAAGCAACAAATATAATACTTATGGGAGACTCTGATCCCATTTGCACCGTGAAAGTTGAATTGCTTTGGGTAATGAATAGTCCAGCCAAAAAAATGAAATGCTTTGGACTTGACCGATAGTATTGAATGTGCCGACTCTTTGTTTCTCTATACACCGGGTGTACTGCGGGAATTTCAAAAGCCACAAATGCTTGGCCGCTTATTTATTATATCTAGTTCATCTACATTTATCTAGTATGAAAATAAGAACATAAATTAATAAACTTTTATTAAGAGTCTCATAAACTTCCATCTAAAATTTATGGAAGGTTCAGAGTTCAGACCTAATATTCCTGTCATCCCAAACAAAGTCTTGTTTGGATAAAGCACGACTTTTTGAATCCGCCAATGCACGACTGTCAAAAGTCACGCACCTTGTATTTTTAAAATTTACTTCTTAGTCTAACTAAATATTTCAATATTTGACTTATTAGTATGCCTTTTTGAAAATTGCATGCAAATCTAGCTTCGTTTGATGAAATATAACTTTTTGTTGGACATAAAGAGATTTGAAACATGACTTTTGGGTAGGATATAGTCAATTCAAATAAACTTTAAAGTAAAAAAATTACACATGAGAAGTTTTTTATACAACTTGGGTTGGGCCATGTAAGAAGAACTTTTGAACTACAAACAGTCATCATAGGTTGAAAAAAATAAAGTATATTTTGTAACATTAATAGTACTATTCAAAATGGAAGCAGTCAAACAAACTGCCTTCAATTAAAAATTACCTTGGACTGTAAGAAAGCTAGTCTCTTTATTTTTGTGAAGTTTTTAGATGAACCACCTTCAACAGCATAAGATGCCAGAGTAAAAGGTGCCCCGACGAATCCTAAAACTACAGCTTCATTATGAACCTAAGAAATTAAACATGCAAATCAATCTTGCTGTTTAGTAAGACTTGTGACTAGTTATTATGACTGTAGTTTATTATTTTGATCGTATTGTGAACTTATTCAGTACATTTCGTAATCTAGGATTCGTCACATGTGTATGGTAAAAAATGAAGGAATTGATTTGAGTCAACTAAAAGCTTACACTGATAGTTGGAATATACATTTACATATATTATTATATATGTCAACACAATTGGTTATCATGCACATGTTGAAATAATATAAGAGTACAAAACTTGAATTAGAGGATGACTGATGAGAAATGCAATACTATTTATGTCTACCTCTTTCCGCAAGATATTTATTTATGTGAGGTGTGGAAGTCCGGAACCCTAGTTTCATCGTGTCCTCCCTTCCCTCGATCTAAAATGGCAGAAGCATCTTTGAGTATTAGCCTCGACGATCTCATCAAGAAGAACAGGGGTTCCGGAGGAAGTAGAAGAGGTCGTGGAGCTGGACCAGATCGACGGATCCGCTCCTCTAACCCGCACGCACCTTATGAAACTGCCAAGGCACCGAACGCAGCTTGGAATCATGACATGTTTTCCGCTGACCAGCCTACGGCGTTTCCCGGTCCTCCCGGACAGATCGTAGGAGGTGGTCGAGCTTCCTCCATAGAGACTGGCACGAAGCTCTTTATCTCTAATCTGGAATATGGTGTCTCTAACGAAGATCTCAAGGAACTATTTTCTGATGTTGGAGATATGAAGCGTTATGGAATCCATTATGACAGAAGTGGGAGATCAAAGGGAACAGCAGATATTGTTTTCTCCCGCCGACAAGATGCTTTAGCAGCTATCAAAAGATATCACAACGTTCAGCTTGATGGAAAACCAATGAAGATTGGGATTGTTGGCACAAACGTTGTGACTCCTGCCCCCGCCTGTCTTTCCTTCTTTTGGAAATCCCACTGGAATTCCCCCTAGTGGGCAAGGAAGGGGTGGAGGGTTTGGAAGACCACGTGGAGGTAGAGGAAGAGGGCGTGGATTTCAAGGTGGGCGAGGGAGAGGAAGAGACCGTGGAGACAAAAAGGTATCTGCTGAAGATCTTGATGAAGATTTAGCAAAGTATCATTCTGAAGCAATGCAGACAAATTGATGTGTCTGCTTTCAACACATCTCTTCTCTACACTTGTTGTGAGTTGTGACTATGCATGATGATGAGTCCATGTATCTTTTTATATTTTGAGCATCGTTCAGCTCTCAGTATGATTGCCTATTACGAGAAAGTACTTAAAGCAAGTGGGACTTGTACCTCTTGATGTGTGTATGTGGGGATTGGGTTTTGTCACACATTGTTGCTTTCAATTTGGTGAAGTTAGGTGGACTTAATAGATTGAGATAATAAAAAAAATTGATATTTTGCCAATGTATGGAACAAACTCTTCAGGATTGAATTCCCTAACTTTCTCGACATCTGTAGCAGTTTGCATAGGATGAAATATGACTGGCCCTTCCCCCTCTAAAATGTAAAATGGTATGTTCATTCCAGAGAGAGGGGTAAGAATGTCTGAAAATAAAATAACCTGCCACAGTTTTCAAGAGAGATAATTTAATCAAATCACAAGCTAAAAGATTGTGATTTTATCAATAGCATAGTGAAATCATGAACTTGCATCTTACCCCATCAGGACGAAATGCTTTCCATGACTGTAGAGAAATTTCCACCACGAGATCCACATTTTCTAATCTCTCACGAAACGATGGATACTTCTCAGAAAGGAATTGGTAACTCTATTTTGGAAGTGAAGAGAATCAGGTACAATAAACACATTAATCTAAGAAAACGCATGCATAATACTGGATGTCAGAAACCATTTGGGGTATCAAATTGGAATAATAAAGAAACATGAATTTATAAGATCTTAAGCCAAGGCTAGATAATCGGCTGGAGTCAATTGTTATTGTTGTTTGATACATTCTCATTATGGTTCAGTCAAGTGATCCTAACCTATTGAGAATTCAATGAGAAACCATAACAAGTCTTTCCATCCGAACATCAATTTGGACCGCTACAAATATCTAAATAAGTGAATACTCCGTATATATAAGCAAGCACTCAAATTAATAGGTTACAAAGAGGATATATGTATAAACCTGCCTTCATATACCTCTCGGCTTGTCTCATAAGTCAAACAGGAGGTCTTTCCACCTTTTTCCCACGAACCGCATTGATCAGAAGAGGTTCAGTAGCACTGTTCACTTTTGGTTCAACAACAGTCCCTACAAATAAGGGGGGGGGGTCTATTTTTCTTTGGGCTCATTGTGAATATGCAAGAAGATCAACAAGATTGCACCATTCAGTTGGAGACACGTTAGGATTGAATACTATTAAATCCCAACATCAATAAATCCATTCTAAACAACTTCATAGCATCATAGGTGAAATTCATAGAAAAAAGACATACCCATTACCCAGTAAAACACACATTTTGAGAAACTATTCAACCAGTCACACAGATGAGAAGTCTTTTTAGATTTAAACCTAACCCCTACTTTGGTTTGGGGAAGAAACATAGATGAGAATAATGAGTGAGAAAGAGAGGGAGAAAAGAAAATAGGTGTGAGAGAGTTGCCGAAGAAATGGATAAAAACTGGGAACGAATGCATTTCTCTACTACTACCTCTCTCCGTGAAGGAGAAGAAGTAGAACTGGTTCAAAACATTTCACTCTCCACCATTTCCCTCCTAACCAGACAGGGATAAAAACATCAATACCCAGATCCTTATTTCCAACATACCAGAACATATTTAGCATATGATCATTGGAAACAAACAATTGGGTGTCCACATTCTGTTCATACAGATCACTTGTTCAACTTTTCTACATTTTCTGGTCTGGAAATTTGTCCATATTAACTCCTACTTTAAGGAACCAAATTGATAGTCGGGCAGGATGCTAAACATGGGATTTTACCAATGCGATGGCCACATTCGCACTAAGTTAATCCAAAGAGCCCAACTCCAATGAGGAATTTCATCAAACATCACAACTACCAATATGACGTTTTACGGGTAATTCAACAGTTTAACTTCTTCTTTTATTTTGGCCTTCTTTTAGAGTTTTAATCTGTCTCACTAAGAGATGTCAGCTCTAATTAGGGTTATTACTAAATGTGTGACATTTTGTGTCAATGTGGAAAATATTACCTATTAGAGAGCAATAGACTCTTGATTTATACTTGTCCTGAGATGAAGAAGAAGAACTTAGAGTGGGTTTACAGTGCACTGAGATTGCTGAGAAAGATGGAAGTGATATGTTAATGCAAGACATATTTTGGTGGCATGAAATATATGCGCAGAATCAGCAGCGCTGAATAAACTTTCGCCGGTGCAAAACGTCTAGGTGCAGAGCTCCATTGTAGAGCGTTCACCTGTCGGAGGCAGCGAAGAGTTAACGGCAACAGCCAATAGGGGAAGAAGAAATTTTGTGGGTAGGAAAACCGGGGAACCGCGATGGAGAGGAACCCTGCAGAGCGTCATCATGTGGTTTTCTTCAAATAAAATAAGGAGGAATTTGATTTGAGTCATTTTGCACCCAACTGCGTCATCATGTGGTTTTCTTCAAATAAAGTAAGGAGGAATTTGATTTGAGTCATTTTGCACCCAACTTTTTGGATAAAATTGGATTTTGCATCACATTTTAAAAACCATTTTTTTCTCCTTATCGTATAACATTTTGTGAGCGAAAAATTCTAAATGGAATGTAAAGTGAAAAAAAAATTGAAGTGAAATGAGATGAAAAGTCAAAGTTTCTCTTTTTTTGAAAATAAAGTGCAAATCCCAAAAGTGGAGTTCAAATTCAAATTCCCCCTAAAATATACTCTTAGGTATTTTAAATCTTGTTATAATAGGATTTTGTACATTATCAATGGTAATTAGTTCTAAAGGAAAAACTAATTAAAAATGGAGAACTCTAACAAAAATTAAAATTCATCCTAAAAAAGAGAATGTAGCAAACATTTAATACGGAAGACTAGTAGACTACTATGTACTCCCTCCGTCCCGAAAACAACTTCACAGTTGGACTTTCACACACTTTTAGAAAATAAATTTGACTTTACTGTAGAGTACACTGTTTGGCACTGTTTAAACACTGTTTGACACTGTTTAAACACTGTTTGGCACTGTTCATCATTTTTTTGATGTAGATAATTTGCCCAATAAGGAAAGTATTGAAGTGTGAAGTTAATTTTGGGACATCCATTTAAGGAAAGTGGGAAGTTGTTTTTGGGACGGGGGGAGTATTTATTATTAAAAAAAGTTGAATAAAACTACTCTAATGATCATAGAAAATCATTTGACTGTCTTCCCGATTGAATTTTTTGCTGAAATTTGGTATGAATGTACTAGACTTGATGAAGAACATGCTCAAAAAATTTCATCACAAAATTCCACCGAGAAGGCCCTCAAAACGTGGAGGCCGCACGGCGGCTCCGGTAAGGTATACCTTACCGGAAGAGCTCTCATATATATATATATATATATATATATATATATATATATATATATATATAGAGAGAGAGAGAGAGAGAGAAGTTCATGTCAGGACCTCTAAAAACGGACCTCCGTACGGACTTCGGCGTTTGGGCCCCTTCCAGGTGGAATTTTTTGATGAAACTTTTTGAGCACGTTCTTCATCAAGTCTAGTTTATCCATACAAAATTTCAGCTAAAAATTTCATCGGGAAGGCAGTCAAATGATTTTCGGAAGTTAACTGCATTTTATATGTATATAAAGTGCGCAGTTAACTTCCAAAAATCATTTGACTGCCTTCTTGATAGAATTTTTAGCTGAAATTTGGTATAGATAAACTAGACTTGATCAAGAACATGCTCAAAAAAGTTTCATCAAAAAATTATGTTAGAACTTTTATTGTGGGTCAAGTTTGTCTGTAATGTCTTGTTTTAATAAAGTAGACTAGTTATACCATTTATGGTATTAGATTAGTAATTATTATGTAATAAATAAGGTAAAGGGAATAAGGCCCAAAAAGGCCTTGGCCCAACTTCCAAGGTTTACCTAAATCGGTAACCTGTACAGCGCCTATAAATACGCGCCTTGTGTACAGGTACCAAAATCGATTAATACACTCTAGCCTTACGCTGCTAAAATTCTTCTCGATATAATAGAAACACGATCTCCAAAGTTCTCGATACTTCATAAATCATTCTGTGAGATCATTCTTCTCTGTTATTCGATGATATCCATCTAGCTGTGTGTTAGTCTGCAAAACTGGGACCAACAACTGGTATCAGAGCCTGCTCGAGTTTGATCGTCAAAGAAAAGTTTTCGAAGTTCTCTGCTTTTTCATACTTTTCGACCTCTTTGTGTTAATCACTGTAATCTCGTTTCTGATCGATAAACTGTAAAAGTTATACCATTGGATTCGCCATTCAGAAACGAACCAAGGGTATATCTTACTTTTCGATTTCAGTAGATTTAGTAATCTTGATTTCTCGATAGTAAGATATCGAAAAGCAGAGTTCTCGACATTGTAGCATGTTTTTCGAGCTGAAAATCATTCCAGGAAGATCTCTGGATTTAGGACTTTAAACTTTAGCTGTTTTATCTACATAAAACTGAGTTTTCGAATTGCAGGATCTCGATACTGGCTTCTCGACATAAGTTCTCGAACTGAGTTCTCGAACTGCTGTTCTCGATACTCAGTTTTCGACATTATATCTAGATACCTTGTTTTCGATTTGCAGGATCTCGAAATATCTTCTCGATAGTCAGTTCTCGAAACCAAGTTCTCGAACTCAGGTTTTCGATACTGACTTCTCGAAAGAACTTCTCGAACCCAGTTTCTCGATAGCAGGGTTTTCGATATAAAACATCGAAAACTGCTTCTCGAAAGAGCTTCTCGAACTCTGTT